TTTGATCTGACTGGGTCAAAGTGGCTGCTAAAGGAAAGTCCTTTATTAAACAAAGAGCTTTTGCATCTCTCAGTGTGCCACAGGAGAGAACCCGGCAATTAGGAGTAGCCTTGGTGATAGGCTACTCCTGTAACCATGGATCCAGTCTCCCCATCAAGTCCCTCTGCTGCTCTGTGGGATCCTCTGGGACTTGCAGCCAGATAATAAGGGCAAGAAACAAAGGCTGCCACTTAACAAAGAGTTGGGTGAAGGGCATTGACCCCAAACATAGATTAGACCTGCTGCCCACGAGTGATGCCTGGGGGCTGGGGAGGGGTTGGTGCCAGGCTAATGTTTGAGCCCTGGCCAAAGTAAAGAGGCCGCTGGTGGCCAGACTTTTTCTTGAAAATCTCCACATCATTAGCAGCTGAGGAGGAGCAACAGTACCTGATCATAACCCACAAAGTTTAGAGAGCTCTTTTTAGATAGTTCTGGTCTGTTGGCCTGGCTTAACATAAGCCAATTAAGACTTTTTGTAATTTTGGTCAGGTGGGGTAATTTGTGAGGAGCCTCGCAGAGTAAAGTGAATAATACTGCTTTTCAAAGAAGTAGGCAGGTTAGTCTGTACAAGCTTGCTTATTGGCTTGCTTGCTTGCTTGCGTATTTATTGACTGATTTTGATTTTGTGTATATACCATCGTATTGGTGCATACACGCTATTCTGGGCAGTTTACAAACCCCCCTGCTTGCCTTGAATCTCTTTTTAGGGCACATGCATTCTCCTATGGATTTCTGTGATTGCCGCAGCTCTTTCCCCTTGTTCTTTGCACCCGTTAACTTCCCTTATATGTACACCTTTTCTGTTGTGACCCCTTCTCCACAAAAGCTGCAAGGGGTCCTCTTTTGCCTCTCCCCACCCCTTTTTGGAGAGGAGGTGATCTCAAGTAGTATCAAATTGGGAAGTAGGCAAGAATCTTTGTGTTTCCTTCTGCTGGGTAGGCCCACCACTGTTTCTATAACTTTCTATACCTGTTGGACATATTCAGTTTAAAAAAATCATCATCCTCTTAGAATGTTCCATCAACCCCATGTTTGAAGGTTTTCTATAAGAATGTCTTTACCATTCTGTTTTTGTTTGTTTGTTTCTTTTTTCATTTCCAGGGGCCTGGAGAAAGAGATCTCCTTCGATTTTGGACCTCACGGAGAGTATTCTTACCTCTATGGCCAGTGCTATGAACTCACCACTAATGAGTAGGTATCTACCCCCCCCACTCCCCTATAACTGTTGTTCTGAGGCGTGAATGTCTTTTTCAACCCATTTTGAGCACACTTTCCATTGAAAGGCTCACACCAGCAGTGCCACCTGGTGACCTTTTAAAGGGCTGGGCCCTATCGTTAGGAGAGTGAGGGGTCTGCCTTAGACCACTAACTTTGGGTACCAACAAAAGGCAACCAATTGTTTCTTATTCGTTTTGTCATTAGGTTTTTACTGCCAGGAAAAGATTTTCTGTCTCAAAATAACTTGGCGAAGCCTTGGTTACTTGGTGCACCTTAAATTGGGCCAGTGGGGAGCACCATTTGTTGCTTTGCATCAAGCAGCAAAAGTTCTGTGCTGATCCTGACCTTTTGTGTAATTTTTCTTGACTGTGGAGAAGGATTATTAATTGGGAAGGAACTTGATATTTTCCTAAGGACTCATTTTATGTTGCTTTGTAGCATGGCAAAGCCCTCTGGAAAAAGTTAGCTAACTCTTGGTAAGCTTGTTGGATGCATTTGAGAGAGAATACCTCCCCTGTAATCAGCACTGGAAGCCCCTGGGAGAAGCTGGTGTCCCAGTTTTGATTTACTGGAACTAAGTTTTAGTAAATGTGTCATTCAGATGTTTTGGACTTCAGTTTCCAAAATTCTTTGTTCTTTATGGTCCAGCTCTCACTTCCATACATCGCTACTGGAAAAACCATAGCTTAGATTATGCGGACCTTTGTCGGCAAGGTGATGTCTCTGCTTTTTAAGGTGCTGTCTAGGTTTGTCATCGTTTTCCTCCCAAGAAGCAGGTGTCTTTTAATTTCGTGGCTGCTGTCTCCATCTGCAGTGATCAGGGAGCTGAAGAAAGTAAAATCTGTCCGCCTCCATATCTTCCCCTTCTATTTCCAGAAGGTGATGGGACCAGTGGCCATGATCTTAGTTTTTTGGATGTTGAGCTTCCGATCATTTTTTGCACTCTCCTCTTTCACCCTCATTAAGAGGTTCTTCAATTCCTCCTCACTTTCTGCCATCAGAGTGGCATCATCTCCATATCCCAGGTTGCTAATATTTCTTCCGGCAGTCTTAATTCCGGCTTGGGATTCCTCCAGTCCGGCCTTTCTCATGATGTATTCTGCATATAAGTTAAATAAGCCGGGGGACAATATACAGCCTTGTTGTACTCCTTTCCCAATTTTGAACCAATCAGTTGTTCCATATCCAGTTCTAACTGTTGCTTCCTGTCCCACATATAGATTTCTCAGGAGATAGATAAGGTGGTCAGGCACTCCCATTTCTTTAAGGACTTGCCATAGTTTGCTGTGGTTTACACAGTCAAAGGCTTTTGCGTAGTCAAGAAGCAGAAGTAGATGTTTTTCTGGAATTCTCTGGCTTTCTCCATAATCCAGCACATGTTAGCAATTTGGTCTCTAGTTCCTCTGCCCCTTCGAAATCCAGCTTGTACTTCTGGGAGTTCTTGGTCCACATACCTCTGAAGCCTAAATTGGTAAATTTCAGCCTCTTCAGCATCGGTGGTTGGTGCATAAATTGGATTACTGTGATGCTGAAAGGTCTGCCTTGGATTTGTATTGAAATCATTCTATCATTTTTGAGATTTTTAAGACTACAACTACCAGCACCTAAATGTGACTCAGCTTGGAGAAGCCTTAGCTGGAAATATTCATGGCCTAGCTTCCTGTTCAAAAAGGAAGCTGTCCAGTACTTCCTGAGAGACTCCAAAATTTCTTTTTTTTAAAAAAAATCTGTGTCACATATCTGCTGAGGTTCCCTCAAAATTGCTGTTAGTAGATCTGCATGCAGTAAGATGGACTCTCTGCTAACATTTAAAGAAGTGTTCCTCATTTCAATAGCTGGAAATATTCATGCCCTAGCTTCCTGTTCAAAAAGGAAGCTGTCCAGTACTTCCTGAGAGACTCCAAAATTTCTTTTTTTTAAAAAAAATCTGTGTCACATATCTGCTGAGGTTCCCTCAAAATTGCTGTTAGTAGATCTGCATGCAGTAAGATGGACTCTCTGCTAACATTTAAAGAAGTGTTCCTCATTTCAAACAAATAACAGCTAATCAGTATGCATTCACAGTGTTCTAAACTGGATCTTATATAGTTATTAAAGCTGTGTTTGGCCAAGACCATTCCTCAGCAGATAGGATGGTTGGAACCTAAATGGCCCCTGGCTGTTTTGTTGCTGAATAAGCCAAGTAGCTTTGAAGAATCAATATATATTCAAATATTCATGTACTACTTTTAGGCTTAATGGAGTCAGTTCACAGCTATAAGCTTAGCTAACCTCTCCTTTTTGGATGTGGTATGGATTTGCAAACCAGTATATCCATTTGGAACTGATGGCTTAAGGAGGCAATGAGAAGCTTAAAGAATCATGCAAACTCTTCAGGGTTCCTGGATTAGTAGTAAGGCAGCCCCATTAGGCTTTTGTTCAAGGAAGGTTTTAATTGCCTACCTCTTCTTTGTATTGAAACAGAATCCAGGTTGCTCTGAGGCATTCCTGAATTTTTCTTGGGGGCAGCGCTGATATCTGTACAAAAGGCCAGATCTTAGTCAGATGTCATCAAGTACAGTAGAACCTTGATAGGTACATATCAAGATTTTCACACTCTTATAGCAATCCCCCTGCTGAAAATAAGATCATGATTAAGTGTGGAGAACAATGACATGGCCCAACAGTGACACAGAATGTACTTTAAAGGTTAGGGGTCTGCCAATATTTTTCTCATGATCTCCTCTCTCCCGAAGGCCAGACTACCAGCTGAGTTCAGCTAACTGCAGCAGGTATTTGCATGGAGTGTGCCACTGCCACTAAAGGCAAGGTTTTGCTGTCCTGGCATTCTCCATTTGGCATTTTAGAGATGGCATAGGTTCCTGGGTGGCCATACTGTACCCCCTATAGTTGTACCATGAGGACTAGACTTCAGAGCCCTCAAACAACCATGAGAGGGAGAGGGCAGGAGATGGCAATGCCAGATGGTGGGGTTGGCATGACAGGAAACAGCATGGCATCAGCACCTGAGTAGCTATATAGCAGGGCAAAGTTGTCCCATAACATCCTTTTTAAAATCAGGGCCATGCATTGCAAAAGTGGCTGATGCTGAGCTTCTAGCTGTGCACACCTTTCTTCTTTGATTCTGGGGACATCGTCGTTTAGTCGTGCCCGACTCTTCGTGACCCCATGGACCAGAGCACGCCAGGCCCTCCTATCTTCCACTCCCTCCCGGAGTTGTGTCAATTTCATGTTGGTTGCTTCCATGACACTGTCCAACCATCTCATCCTCGGTTGTCCCTTTCTCCTCTTGCCTTCACACTTTCTCAACATCAAGGTCTTTTCCAAGGAGTCTTCTCTTCTCATGAGATGGCCAAAGTACTGGAGCCTCAGCTTCAGGATCTGTTCTGGGGACATAAAGATGCCAAATGTGTCTCTTTCCCTGTAGCTACCTGGTCGGAGTCAGGGTATTTGGAGGAGATAAATGTGGTAGTAGTGGCAGATTGTTTATCTTGAAAGTACACTGCAGAACGGTCATAATAGGGCTCTGCAACCTTGCTCTTAGGATCTGACTGTGACCACTCATTTGCCACCTGCAAATAGTTTGCTAGTTTGCAGCATCAGCCATGCTAGTGGAAAACTCTCCGAGAGCCTTCAGGAATACTTAAAATTTGTTTCAGCCTCGGGGATGGGGCAGATCATCTTAAAGGGCCCACTAGGCACTGGAGAAGCAAACAACAGTCTGCCTTTACCAAGAAATCACCTGACCACATCTGCAACAGAGTTATGTAAGGGGAGAAGCCAGTTCATTACACTTCTGGTCAGTATAAAATACTGTGTCCAGAGTTTGGTTTGCTGATTGTGATGGGCCTATGAAACATCCCTGTGGTTGTCATGACAGCCCTGAAGTCCCAAGGTTGTTGGCCTTTGAGCTGACCCCTGCATGAATATTGAAATCTCTCACCCCTTTGAACCACTGCACGTCCTTGTGTGTGATGTGAAAGGGTGTGTGTGCTTCTCCACTCTCATGGTTTGGATTTCTCTCATATTTATAGTGTGTGTTTGCCGGTATGTTCAGAACTTAGGACATTATCCTTTGCAGCCATATGAAACGAAAAAGAGGATTGTCCTACTCTCGCCCTCACTCCTAGTTAAGAGCTATCAATTTTTTGGAACGGTGAAGCAGCAAACAGACATATCAAATGTAATATGAGAGGAAAGTTTTTCTCCTGAACCTAGGATGCAAGGGACATGATAATTCTCCTCTCTGCTTGCTGCCCCCTTTTTTAATCCCCACGTGCCCTACAAAAAAATTACACCAAAGCTGCAGATTTCCAGCAAACCCTCTTCTGGCTGATGTTTTCAGAACCAAACTAAATACAATGCCAGCCGATCCATGAGAAAAGAGGAGGCTCCAGCTGAGAGGGAAAAAAAAAAGGTCACATTTTAAGGAGTGCAGAGCCCTACACTTACCTTGAGGAAGGTAGGGAACAATGTTCCCTCTAACTTTCAGCCTTGCTGGGCGGGGGCTCCCCCTCTCGCACGTATGACTCTGCCCCCCTCCCCTGCACGGGGTTCCATCGCAAACAGAACCCAAGGGGCTGTGGGTGCTCGGAAGAGGATCAACGCTGTGCAGGGTGTGCGCAGTACTGTGAGCTCGCGCACCTTCGTGGGAATCTTGGCAGGGAGGTAAATGGAAGATGTTGGGGAGAGCTCAACTCTCTGCTCTCAGACTCTCCTTTCACTCTTTGCATGCCATGCTTTCTCTGCCTTTTGTGTGATCCTGGCAGTTCAGCGCTTGCCCTCAGGGATCTGCTCCACCACGGCTCCTTTGGCTCTCTGGCAGACGCTACTTCCTAAGCAAATCCTTCCAAAGGCTTGAGAGATTGTAGCAGAAGGAGCAGAGGCCTTGAGAATCCCTTGCTTCATCTAGTGCCAGAGTCTGTCCTTGTTGCCCTTGTTGGTGTGGCTGTTAAAAGTGCTCCGCCACACACCTCATTTGGCTCAGCACATAATTTTCTGACCTCTAGAAGGAAGAAATGAAACGGTTGCAAGAAATGCCTATTTCAGTTTTAGGAGGCAAAGTCGACTGCCACTTTCTAGGCAGGGAATTGGCTTTTGCAGAACTGGCTGTTTGGGCTCTCAAGTGGAGCAGTTTATTTTTAGAAAAGAGGCTGGCTGTTTTTCTGAAGGATTTAAGCATTCTGGACTTGTTGGCTATTTTCAAGCATAACCGATAGAAGCTAGCTTCCATCCCTATGCTGACCTGCTACCTCTGGCCCTGTTGGAACCCAGAACTTCTGTCTGGGACTCTTGAGCCCAGGTGTTTTGTTTTTTTCTCCTATGACACATTGCTGTCTGGTATACATTAATTAGGACTCTCTGGCTTGTTTCATTTCATCATCAGGAGTGTGATGGCTTCCTTAATTCCAGGGGTGGGAGGACAACGGCAGTATTTACCATTATACCTGTGTGGAAAGCTTGAGTGCACAAGGCTCATTGACTGCAATAAATGTCTGGTGGGCTTTGTTGGGCCAGCTTTCTGCTATGACTATGTCTTCAGCAGTCTTGCAGTTTCCCCTCAGCTGGAGTGAGCTACACCTTCTCCAACCCAGTTTCAGTAGAAACTATTGATTTTTCCTTTTTTTCTTTCTTTTCTGCCTTCTGCATTCATGATACTGTATTTAGAATATGTTCTTGCTTTTAAATGGTAGAGTGACAACAGAACAGTTTCGGAAGGGATGGTGAGATCAGGACCCTGGTTGTTGTTTTCCTGCCAAGTTTTCTGTTCTTTCCAACTCTGATGTCCAAAATAGTGTCCTGGCTGGAGACATTTTGTTTTGGTCACCTTTGTACTTTAGGACCAGCCCAGAGGTCTACTTTATAAATGAATGACCAATGGTTGACATAGGAGCTCATGGATCTCGTCTTTACTCTTTCAGATATGTTTATCGCCTGTGTCCCTTTAACAGAGTGTCCCAGAAACCCAAGCATGGCGGCTCGGAGACCAGCCTTGGGTAAGAGGCTCTGCCACTATTACTTAATTCCTGGAACAAGGATCTGCTACAAATACTGATCATAGTCATCACAGGTCCCCCTGCCTCTTGAACTGAGCTGAGAGTTGGTGTAGTGGAGTATGAATCAGGAAGACAGTACCTTAGTAGTGCTTCTGCCCTCAACTCACAAGTTCATATTGCTGTTTGGTGATGGTGATCACTGGCCTGCTTTGCACGCCTGTTGGTGTGATTGGAACAAGGGTAATATATTTTAAGCACTTATCATTGAAATGCTATGCATTCTTACTATTGGTATGAATAATAACCTTGTCCCTTAACATTAGTCAGGATAAAGATACCTTCTCCGCTGAAAAGTGAGAAGGAACTGTCCAATAAGTGTGGTGCATGGTTTTTAAAAACTGTAGCTCTGTTTTCTTGCCCGGTGAAGACAACCAGCTCCCATGACATGATCTCAGTTGGTACAGAGATGGAGTCACAGGCACAGCTCTTGAGCTCTTTCCAGCCCTAAAGAAGACAGTTTCTGGTGGGGAGGGGGATGGCTCTGTCATCTCCCATTGAAGTCCAGCATAACTCAACGTTTGGAGTTGTTCCAAGTGCTCTGACTTACCTTGCTTCTTTTCCAGCACATGGGGTTCATGGATTGGTCCAGAAGATAACAAATTCAGCATCATGAAATACGAGCATGGGACGGGCTGCTGGCAGGGACCCAACCGATCCACCACAGTGAGTTCTTGGATAGTCTGGGTTGGATGACTGGCAGGATACATTGGCTTATCGTGTAAATGAAAGTAGCCAAAGATTGAGAACATTATACTTTTCAGCGACAACTCCCAGAGTGGTTTTACTCCGTACTCCCATCATTTGCTAGCAAGCTGCATGGATCTTGTTGGCTGGGGTATGCTAAGCACTGGAAATCCCACCGAGTAACGTTTCCACACTCTTCAATCAGCTTGGCATAGTGGTGGGTGGTGAGAAACATGTTGGCTTCTCACACGTGTCAGAGGACCCTGCCCCTAGTTCAGAGTTCAGATGGAAAAGTAAGGCCAAAACTCTGCACTCTTAAGCATTGAAAAGGCACCTCCAGATTCCAAGTGATGGAGGGATGCCAGTTCAACAAAACAGGCTCAGTGGTGATGTTGCATGTACCACGTCCCATTGTCTAATGATTGGGAATACTTTGTAAAAGTTTGTGGTTGTGACAGGGATGACAACTGTTATCAAAAGAGCACTGAGAAAAATAGGGGCATGACAGCCAAGTGGGTGAGTCAATCAGTCCTCAGAATAGTCATCTCCCAGGATTTTCCCTGGCAAGAGCTGACAAATCAGGGTTCTTTTTAAAATCCTTGCTCTAAGTGATCTGATATTTTTTGGGAAATTGCCCCTCAAATTGAATGGGCCAGTGACTGGCATGTGGAATGATTTGCCTTCTCTGCCAGAAGATGCCTTGCTTTCTTAACTCATCTCTTTTAGATGTTGGAAACTTCTGATCATTTTGCTGTACTGAGTAGAGTAGGTAGGAAGGAAATGGAAGTCTGTCTGTCTGTCTGAAAGAAGTGATGAGGTTACTACTCTGGAAAACTTTAGTCTGGACATTATTTGGTACTCTCATTTTAAGAAGGGAATAAAAACAGCACAAACTGGCACATGATATTTTAACTGGCTTGCTCTGTTTTTAACTGTATCCTTTGTTGATTTCAAGGGACGTGATGGCACTGTGGGTTAAACTGCAGAAGCCTCTATGCTGCAAGGTCAGAAGACCAGCAGTCGTAAGATCGCATCCACACGACGGAGTGAGCTCCTGTCACTTGTCCCAGCTCCTGCCAATGTAGCAGTTCGAAAGCATGTAAAAATGCAAGTAGATAAATAGGTACCGCCATGGTGGGAAGGTAATGGTGTTCCATGTCTAGTTGCGCTGGCCATGTGACCAGTCTTCAGACAGACGCTGGCTCTACAGCTTGGAAACAGGGATGAGCACTGCCCCCTAGAGTTAGGCACAACTTGATTAAATGTCAAGGGGAACCTTTACCTTTACCTTTTGTTAAATTTAATGGTTTTACAGTGGGATTGGTTCACATAATTCTGATTTTTTAGCTAAATGTAGTTTTACCTGTTTTTATTCTTTTAAGAAGTTAAGTCAGCTGCCTTGTGTACTATCTCTTAGTGGAAAGGAGGGGTATAAAGGTAATACATAAATAAAATAATAAATCAAAAAGCTCCTGTGTGATGACAGCAATATTAAGTAGGTTTACATTGGATGTCTTCATGTTTGTAAGAGCCAAGAATGGTGTGACTGTTTCATCACCAAGAAGAATTTGTTTTACCCAGAAAGTCAGCATGTTAAGGGGAAGGCTTCAGTTTAGCCTTCTCTTTCATATAACCTTCCAAACCCACCCACCCCATATGTCCAGGAGGGGATAGCAATTTTTCCTATAGCTTGAAATGGTATAGTCCAGGCAAAGTATTCTCATATGATCAAAGTGTTGTATCATTCTCTCGACTTAGTAATACTTGAGCACTGGCATAATCTGCTACAGGGAAGTAGGTGGGGAGAGGCGATTCTTAGGGAAATAGGATGCTTTGCTTTTGAGCAGCGTTGTGCTAGTTTTGCTCAGTTGGGTTGTAAATTGGCCTGTTGATCAGTCTGTGTCAATGTGGAGCCATCAAGATGTTTGGAAACAATTAGAGATTCATTTTCATATGTTTCCATGAAGCTCTGTGGGTATCTTTGGGCCAGTTGTTTCCCCGCATGCTCACATGCTCAGCTTCCTTTGTTATAGTCAAGTGGTTGCAAGGACAGAATGGAAAGAATTCCATGCATGCCACCTTGAGCCCCTTGGAGCAACATAGGGCACAAATGAGTGAGTTTGCCAGGCATGTTGGTGGGTCATGCTGTAAAACAGTAGGGGTGGGGGGGACTGTTTGGAAGCCAGATCTGCCCACCAGTGTGCTCCATTTTAAAGGGTTTCAGTGCAAGAGTTCCAAGGGTGGCCTAAGAACCATTGTCCTTATTTTTCCTTCCACCAAGGTGAAACTTTCATGTGGCAAGGAGACAGTAGTCACATCCACAACAGAGCCAAGCCGCTGTGAATATTTGATGGAGTTTGTCACCCCAGCAGCCTGCCATGAGCCAAAAGATCTCAATCACGATGAACTCTGAGAGCAGGTGAGTTCCGTCCTGAGGCCTGTGCTTGCTCAAGACAAGGCTTAGTAGCTGGGAGCAGTACCGAGACAACAAGGACAGGAAGGGTGGAAGAAGCTCTTTGGGTAGGATCATTCTGTGAACTATAGGATTGGTTATTAAAGGGGCAGACGATACACTCAGTGTAAGCAGGTGTAGCATGGATCACATTACATTCAGGTGGATAGCTTGATTCAGATATCAGTCCAGTGGGAACTATTTTAAAAATGGCTGATGGTACAGTTCTAATAATCTCACTAGCAAAAAGATACTGGAGCGCAGGAAGAGGTGGAGAAAAAGGTGGCAAAAATGATCAAGGAGGCGAAGCAAATACCGTGATTGGAAGGTTACAGGTTTGGTGCTTTTCAGCATGGAAAAATGGTCACTGTGGAGGCGTGACGGGAGTGCCCAAAACACAAGTTGTCAACCTAATCTCTCCCGCAGGATTGTTCTGAGAATAAAGTGGAGGGAGAGAAACTTGTTTCCCATCTTAACCTCAGTAGAGGAGAGTTGGAATATAGTTTTAACAAATAGATAAAATTTAGAAAGCAGCGCCCTTCATCCTGGCTCTGCTCTTTATCTATTGGGAAAGGAAGTAATGTGGGTGCCAGCTTTGTTCCCTGATCTGATTGTTCTGTCTGGCTTTTTGTTCTTGCAGATGTGTACAGGCTGTTGCCAGTGGAGCCAAGCTAATAACTGCAGGATTCGGCACACATTTTGTCCCATGGCCCACCCGCTCAGGCTTCCCACATGGGTCGTGGCATTCCTTTTCCACTGTTAGTGCTGCTCTGCTCCATTGGACTTTGGAGCTTTGAAATACTTGCATTTTTCTGGCCAAGTACTGGGACATTACCTCTCCCCTTCCCCCTTTCACCCACCCGCCCGTTTCTTCAACTTTAGGGTGCCACCTGCCCTGCTCATACACACCACCGAGGATTGCCCAGCTGCCTTTATCTTTCTATGGGAAGGTTTTCCCCCACTCTTTACTGTTGCTTCTTTGTCCGTGGAAGAGCAGTTACTTTTCAGCCCTGCTGGAGAGACGACTCCGGCTGCTTGCCCGAGGCCTTTTCTTCTCCTGCCTGGCCTTTTGTTCCTGGCCAGATTTCCACTCATTCACAGACTTTCCAGAGATGAAGGGGAAGAATATGGAGGGAAGAGCCTGGGCCTGGCTTGCCTGCTGCACTGGTGCCCACCGCCTGTTTTTGTCTTGTTTTTATCTGCTGTCCAGGGGCAAACTTTTATTGAAAAAAAAAACACAACATTCCCTACCAATAAAAAAAGTCCCTCTCTTCTATTGTCTGTGTCTCAGTGACATCTAGGGTGATAATAAGGGGTGGTAGATTTGATCAAAGCAAAGCAAAGCGTGCTGCTTATATACCGTATTTTTCGCTCCATAAGACGCACCTTTCCATAAGACGCACCGATTTATTAGGAGAAGAAAACAGGAAAATATAATCTGTTTTCTTCGCTCCATAAGATGCACAGACTTTCCACCCCCCTGTTTTGTGGGAAAAAAGTGAGTCTTATGGTGCAAAAAATACAGTACCACCCCATAGTGCTTCAAGCACTCTCTGGGCGGTTTACAACTTAATTACGCAGGCTACACATTACATTGAAAGAGTGCAGCAAAATGGGGGTGGCACAACATGGGATAGTGAAGCCTGCTTTCTAGAGGGGTGGCGAGTATTAGCTGTATACTTGGGTCATGTCCCCCTTCATATTCCCTACGTCCAGAACACTGAAACATCCTATGAGAGGCGTGAGGGGGATGAGGGGCTTAGAACCAATAGATCTCTTTCTTCCTCCTCCCCTTTCCTCTTATGGCCCCTCCCACTCCTTATGAGAACTGGGCCTCCCATCTCTGCCATGTTTCTCTTGATGAAGACTGGGGGGGAGGGCAAAGCTGGTGTCTTTCACCTGCTCCCCTTGATTGCTGTCAAAGTCCCCATCATTTCCATAACAAAAGCAGGGCTCCTTCTCCCCCAGCCATCATTGTTTCCCATCTAAGCCCTTTTCCAAAAAGGCATCTGCTGTTGGCCTGGGGCCGGGAGGGGTGGCTCTCACAAAAGACTCCTCTGGTGACTGAGATGCTTACTGTATAGGTTTAGGTCTCCCCTGAGAAAGAGGAATAGAGAGTGGGGGGTGGGGAGAGTAAGCATCATCAGTTAGTTTTTCAGACTAGCCTCATCTCCCGAATTCATTCTTTCCAGAGGGTAGGAAGAGCAAATTTGTTTCCTTCCCACTCCTTAAGCATCAGGTGATGCAAGCATCTTGAACCAATGACAGCAGGTGTTACTGATGTATCTTCTTTCCATTTGGGTCTTGGTGACTGTGTATAGCCCCACAGGATGTTTTCATTTGAATCTGTACATCTGATCAGTACAGGGAAGGAGCAAATACTCCACAAGCATAGCACACACGACTTTTTTTCTGGACTTTAATTAGGCTGTGTTCCTTAATGTTGAGAAGAAAGCAAACTGGAGCCATTACAAATGTCCTTTTACATGTTAGTAAAAGGTCATTTGTAATGGAAGGTAATATATTTATATAGCAGGAGTGATGCCATGTCTACAAAATTCAGTCCCTTGTTCATTAAAACTAAACCATCCAGTGCACTCTCCGTGATACACAGTAGCTTATTTTCCCCATAAATGGATATTTAAGCCATTTGCTCAACCAAAAGAAAGCCAAAGGTGCATTTGGAAGCCATTGGGTGGGAAGACTAAAAGCTGCCCAGTTATCCCAGTGTTTTGGGCCAAGAATGAGGTTTCGCCTTCTCCAGACTGTAGCTCCTTTTCTTTGTCTAATGGAGTTCTCTGGGAAGTAGATCTTGTGTCTAGCTGCCAATCTAGGAATAATTATATGTTCTCCTTGTGTTCTATATCTGTGTAGTGTGCCTCTGTTGCATACAGTCCACTTGGATTCACAGTTATTTTTTTCCATGGCCCAGTTCAGATAGTTTCTCCTCCTTGGAATATCATGGCTAGCATGTATAATTCAATTCTTCAGTGTTCTTAACATATTAAAAAATGGATGCTAGCCTTTAATCCACCAAGGAAAGTGCATTGTATTAATAGTATTACAGATATGTTAACTTAATGTCTTGCAGTCCTCTAATCCTAGCAATATTACAAGTAGCTGAAAGAGAGAGATGGTGATTCAATAAAGCTATTCTCCACTTTTTTTATTGGCTTTCATGTTTTACAGCCATGGTGTACGCATTTGCTCTGAGGTCATTCTATATATGGAACCCATGTTATTCTCAGTAAGAGGGATGTTTGTCAGTAAGAATATAAGAGTTTGAGCAGGACGGGCAAAAAGCATCCCCCACCAGCCCTCAGTTTAAAAAAAGGTCTCAGTAAGTTCCCATGTGCACCCTAGAAGTGTAGTGAGTAATTCTGCCACTTTTCAGGTAGCCATAATAATAATAATAATATGTGCCATCAAGTTTATTCTGACTTACCGTGATCCTTTTCAGGGTTTTCCAGGTAGAGAATCCTTAGAAGTGGTTTACCCTTTCCTCCTCTTAGCAGCACCCTGGGACTGTGCAGCTTGCCCAAGGCCACATAGGCTGGCTCCACTCACAAGAGGCACTGTGGGGAATTGAACTCTCCAACCAGATCCTAAACCACTGAGCTATCAAGCCAGCTTCAGGTAGCCCTAGCACACACATCCTTTCCCCCCCCCCAAGGATTTTTTAAAATTTCTGCTATTAAATTGTACGAGGGGACACTTCCTGGAAGAAAAATAACTGGAGGTGGAGGTTTCAGGAACAGCCCTCCCAAGGATGTACAGAGGCAGTAGAGTTGTTCACTGCACCTTGTCTGCATTACTCCTCTTTTGTGTTATCAACAAGACAGACACTGATAAGATTCTGAACTTTTTATTTTCTGGCATGAAAAGTACAAATAATTAAACAATTCCATGTAAAAGATTCATACAGCCGCCGTGCCTGAAATCCCAGTAATAAATAGTCTAACTAAATGCAAAGTGTCATTTTTTTCTTATTTTTTACAGCAGTTTTTTTAAACCCTTCCCACATCAACTGACTCTCTCATGATTTATTTTTCAAATATTGTTTTTAAAAACTGTTCCAATACATAAGTGTGAAGCTTAAAGGAGTTCTGGGGGCCAGGCACTCCAGGCCTGTCATCTTCTCCCCGAAGCCCCACCATGCCCCATGACTAAATACACTGGTGGGGAGGGTGAGGGGCATGTATAAAATATTAGGAACTCGCCATTACAACAGACAGACAATTCTTTAACCCTCTGCTCCCTTCAATGTTGCACCCTGACCCATTGCTGGAAGCAAATATTCCAAGCAAACAGCTCCTCTCCAGTGTCTGCTTTTATCCATATGCAAAATTCTCTCTTTCCCTCCCCACCCCTGATCCAACCCCTAATCAATCCACTTCACTTTTTAGTAAACTCAAACTGGCACTTATTGCTACTTGAAAAAATATACTTGAGAAGAGGCTAGATTGCTGTGACTGACTTAGGAATTAACAGATCACAAGAGAGAATTTCGTTTGCCACTAAATGCCCTTGTTGAGATGCAGGGAAGGGAGTCAGATGCAGAGTGTGGTTGCAGGATTAGAAATTAAGCAGGATCTGAATCAGCCACAAGGCATTTCGACAGAACAACTGGAACTACAGGCAAATTCACTATTACCTATGTGTTCCAATATGCAGTTTCAGCTTGACCCGGCTCTGTTTCAGAGTAGTTCATTAAGCACAGATTATTTATATGGCTGCATAGAGAATTTGGTACTTTTTCCATTTCCCACTCCAAAAGCACTTTGAGGGGCCTTTCTATCTTGTCCCATTACTAGCTGGGTACTCCTACCCTGGGATGTTAACTGAGATGTAAAATGTGCTGCTCCTAAAACGTGGCACTCCTTCAATGACTATGAAGTTCTCTTCCTGCTTTGTAATTTCAAGGGCAGAAAAGAGGTGGCTTCGTTGCTCCTTTGCCCATATCTAAGGCACCCTATGCTCCAGGGACCATCGTCTGTCCACACCACTGCCTCCTGGGGCTGCATGACTGTACAAGTAATCCAAGCAGTTGCTTAAAGAGACACTGAAAGTATAGCCTCCACTATTTTATGAGTGAAAATGGCTACAATTAATAATGCTCCCACTAACATACCAAATATCTTGGTAGCATCATGTATTGTTAGAATTCTGTGTTTCTTGTAAATGCCCAGCCAATAAATACCATGCCCTCCACTGAATGAAAAGCCAAGATCATGCTCCTTTTTGGGTCAAATATACTGTTAAATGTCTTAACAAACTGCGGCAGCTGTTCAAAGCATACCCGTCTCTGTAGTATGCCGAATACTAGGCTGTGTTGTAGTGTTCATACACATGCATTTAAATGAATGTGCACTACAGATGAAACAAGTTCATCCCACCCACAAGAGACTTGGCTTCTAGAGACTTCAGAGAGGGAGCTGGGCCATGAATGATGGCAACTTGACCAACTCACAGTGACGTTGAAACAAAGCATCCTCAGATGGCAAGCAGGGAAATGTGTCATGATATTACTTTCCCAAAGATAAGATACGAGGAAACAGGACTAACATTGAAGAGCGGCTGGAACAAGTGCTTGAAGTGTGTCCCACTATCTGTTGCCATGCTGCTAGTAGTGCAAGGTTCACAATGCACGCAGCCCTCTATAGCATGTAGTCAGAGGCACAACTCTTCAAGCAGCTGCTACTCAAAAAAAACCAACTGCATAGAAAAACCACGTGAAGAACTGCTCCTATAAGAGATTTCTAGTTAAAAATGAGAGGGAGCATTCTTTGCAAGAGGTACCTCGTTATCCAACACGTCCTCCCTGCTTCCCCTGCAAGCCTAACTACACTGACTCTCCTTTGTATTTTTAAGTAAAACACAATAATTTAGAGGGGGTTTACTTCCAGGTATGTGGGTGTAAGGTTGCTCCCTACATCTGATTGGGTAATTTATTTGGCGCTGCCAATGGACTTTTATTTTCTTCATGATCCCTGGAGAAAAAAGCACACAGCAAAAAGTGCACCTTCACCAAGGATCTTCAAAACCGGTAAATACTTGGCATGCATTTCACCAGGTGCCAGGGAAGTGCCTGGCTGCATGTGACTGGCACGTTATCAGATTCCTGTGGCAGGTCTTGCAAGTGGGAGCTCCACGTCCACATAAAGATTGACCAGGGCACTGGCATCTAAGAGTTCCAAGGCAGACTTTTTAAGCTGTACGCTTTCCTCTTGGGTCTAATGAGCATATCCAAAGGGTGTTCCATATCTCCTACCTCCCCGCTCATCTTTTCTCCAACCACTGCAGCAATCCTAAATAGGAGATATGGCAGAGCAGAAATCACATGCAATGCTTCAAGCGTGAGAGATCCTTATCTAATTCCTCCTTCAAATCCTCGTCTGCTGCAGATAATTTTTCTTTGAAATGGAGCTACCTTGGAGCATATTTAAAATACAGTTCGTTTCTGCACTGTTTCCGGAGAACAGGAGAAACGTGTAACCAACATATCTCTAGTACCAGGGGCTATCACGGTTTGGTACCCAGGAATGCCAGCTGGGTTTTGTTTTCTTTATGACCACTGGGCTCTTTGAAAAGAAATTAGCACTAAAGAGCCCAAATTTGTTAGTTCTGATTCACCAACAGGCTGACCTGTCATTGCAGTTCAAATGGTTTCAAATGTGTACTCAAATCTGAGGTTTTACATATTGGAATCGGTTGAGCTCACCTAAATTGAGTTTCCTCTAGCACTGCTTCCCATTTATTGTTTTTAAAAGTCACTTGCTTTACTGTGATGATACACAGCAAGTTCTTTCTTCTCCTTTTTAATATATATTTTTTTCTGGGGAATGAAGCAAGCATACTTTAAATTATGTCAACTTGAAATATTCATGCTCAGCATTTCTTCCAAAATGGATATGGGTTGGAATAAATGCAGCATAAACACAAAATGTATCATTCGTGTCATGTTACCAAATTTCTCCCACTGTGCTTAAGGACACGGCTGAATCAGAGCCAGAGAGGGTCAGAAATGCCCTTTATGCCAACCAGTTTCAGCTGCCTGTGGTACTTGCCTAAAATACTTAAAATTAAAAAAAGAAAATGCCACTGAAATAATTTTTGTAACGTGTGGGAGGGATGCTGAGTGGCAGCATGTAAAGGGCAGAGGGTACAAAACACAAGAATAAATAGAGAAAATGACAAGCTACATGTTTCCCCGCCCGCCCGCCCCTTACCTTTCAATTAGGATGAAGACTCAAATGTATTTTTCCCAACAAGACAAAAGTAGATGATGTAACATCAAACCCCACAAACAAATTTGCCTATAAAGAGTCTGTTCTATATGCCACATTTGTAGGTTGTTTTTAAATGTTCACTTCTGTGCACTTTGCCCTGTTGGAGAGCCTGTCATTTAAGCTTTTATTATTATTGTTTCAATTTTGTTTGCTATTTAATAAATAAATTAGGAATAATCACTTCTCAGCAAATTAAAAATATTTCCCTTTTAACTTGCAACTCTGATGAGAACATAAATATACACAAATGTACTCTTACAAGGCAGTAATAAATATTTAAGTTAACAATAAGTTAAAACTACAAGAAGCTAAAATTCGCAAAAAGATACAAGAGTTAATGGTGCCAGTTTTTTTGTTCTTTTTCTCATTTTATCGCAAACAGAAGCTGCCACAGACTCTTACAAAACACAAGTGAACACATTTATTGTCAAAAAATCAAGAAATTCTAAACTAATTTCTAAATCATTAAACAATTAAAACTCGAACTAATGCTAAAATGTTTAATTATCATTAAGTTCATCTTTTAAATGTTGTTCGTTTTGTTTCCATTTTTGCTTTTGAGAGCAAAAGAAAATAAAGTTCTTTGCTCACGTGCCAACGATGACTTCGTTGTTTTCAGCAAACCAAAATAAATAAATAAATAAAAAATGGAAAATAGCTGATGTGCATTTTCAGGATGTGATTTGTGAACACAGATCCAAAGAGACGCCTTAAGAAAAGGCAGTAGCAATTGTGTCCCCTTTTAAAGTTAGTTGAAAGAGAAACTTTCCTCCTCATTCCCTTTGAAGTGTGGGGGAGTAAGAAAGAAACATGGGCATGAATGTCAGTGTACTACCCTTGCAAACAGATTAATCCCACTTCAAGGCTCCATTCTGAAGGGAGATGGCCATACATGAAAATAAGTTAAATAAATATTCTGTAATAAAGCAGCAGCCCTACAGATCAAACATCTGACATTTTATTTTTGAAAAGTCTTTCTGGGCTCTTTTGGCTTAAATTTGAGAAAGTGGATGATACTTCTGCAGAAATGGCTAGACATCCAAAGTATTTGGCATTTATGGCTGCCAGATGGGTAGATCTTTCTATGACTCCATCCCAACCTCGTTTTTAAACCACTTTGCTAGAAAGTAACTGGCCAGCATTGTGGAGAACCAAAAGTTTTGGCCTGTATTTCTCCTACACACGCATGCCCCACACCTGGAAACCAGGGATGAAGCATGGCTCTATTATCAGGCAAAGGAAGAGGGGTCAGCAATTAAGAGTTATCTTGGTAGAATGCAGAACTCCCTTCTTTGCCAAAGGCCTTATTTCCTCCACCCATGACTTATCCCTCAGCAGCACCTCCTAAATTGCAGAAAATTTACTTCAGGCATTTTGGTCACTTGGTTTAGAGTGGGAAAATGACAACGGCAAAGTTACGGGTTAAAAATTTGGTGTCACGAACTGTCAGGAGAGCTTCCCCAAAGCCTTAATACAAAGCCAATAAACCAAAGGCCAGGTGGGAGGTACCAGAGCAGCAAATTCTCTTTTTTTCCCCTTAAAGGGCTGTGTTATTTTAATTTTAGTGAAATGAAATGTTTCTACAGCATGGAAGATCCATCTGGTTAAAAGGTGGGATGGGGGGGGATATTTTTGCCTTTTACTCAGCAGTCACTTCAAAATAACCAGAGACTGAATCCAAGATGGGTGGCTGAGTAGAGGCCCTATGGAGCTATGTCATCTCTCCCAAGAAGAGAGACCATCCGAGAAGCTTCCCTTCCTGGCTACAATTCTTTGGCCACTTCAAGCTGCCTACTATGATGGTGTTCAGCTGGAATGGAGTTCCAGCCAGGCCCCTTTTAGCTGCTTTGGCAGTAACTGAGTCACAGACAACAGTAAGGCCAGAGATGGGGGGCTAAGGGGGGGGGGAATCTAGACGCCTGTGAGAGAAATCCTTTTTAAATGTTGGCTTAACATCAGTCGTGTAAAGTGAACATATTTTTGCTACCTGTCTTTGTCATAAATCCTCCTGGGCACTAAAAGCAGATTCCAGCTTTGCAGTGGCAGCCTCCTTTGTTTCAACCGAGGGGCAGGATACTTTGAGGAGGCTTCTCTGTGTTCAGTACAGAAGGGTCCCCCAACAGTGGGGCTTCCTGCTTGGTGACCAGATGGACGCCAAAACCTCTGCCAAAGAATCTAGTGCCTTTCCCAGGGGTTCACCATCTCTCCTTCATGCTCACCCCCATGCACATGCATGCCCGTGGCACACACCAATGCTGGCTGTAATGTACTCAGATTCCACAGGAGGGCACATGGCATTAGGACAGAATCAGAGAGGGAGCATCATGCTCAAGCACATCTTTGGCAAGGATCCAGAAAGGCAGCCCAAGAAGCTCACCTTCCTACCAGATGAGCACAAGGGAACCATACTGGCTGATTCTGTAACCAGTGGCTCATGCTGCCTTGGGCTGCAGAAAAGGCCAAACACCAAAGCAAGAGTGTGCATCTCAGGAAAAAAAAATGGGAAGATTTATTGCTGCCAAGAGGAAAAGGGAAGCCCCCTGAGAGAAATCTTAAAGCATGAGGATTGTAAGACCTTCCCTCCAGACTGACTGCCCCACAACTACCTTACAGCAAAGAAGAGGCAAGATCTGATCCCCTTCCCCTGAAGAACTTCACATCAGCCAGCTTGTTCTGGGGAGCTGAAAATATGCGCAATAGCAGTCGTCTCCATAACGGTGCAGTGTGGCATACAGAAATGGCTGGCACTGGGGGACGTGGTTTCACTCTTGGGGATGATGAGCCGCAACACAACAGGCTCTAAACCCAGCACAACAACTGAGGATGGGAATTTTGTGCCATTTTAGAGGTAGGTTGTGTTGGTTAACCTGAAGCCAGGGAGGAGGACTGAATCATTTGAGTCGGCGGCTGAGCAGGAGAAAAGATGGGACGTTGAACGCCAAACCCAAGTGAAGACTACTAACAAAGCTCAATACTAACTCTGTCAGCATGAGGAAGTGGGAACAGAAAAGTGGGCCCCTTATTGACAGAGAAAGGAGTTGCACTGGCCTGCTTTGTGACCTCCTTATTCTGCCCCCAACCCCACCCATTTCCCCCATGTACAGACGGTAACTATCAAGAATCATGTGAACCTTCTCTCCACCACTCTCAGCCTTGCTCAGGCCATGTAGGTTATCAGGTGGAATGTGGCTTAGGACTTTCAGGGAACCATAGAACCAAAGGAAACAAAGGCAGTACCAAAACTGTTCTCAGCACTGCCAATTAATGGTGGAAGGTAACACAGAACCATGTAGATGCATTATGCTACCTGGAAAGGTTAAGTTGCAAATGTTCCACTTGTATGGGAAAGAGAGGGCAAGTCGGAAAGCAATGAGTGTCCCTCTAGCAACCGTTCACTTCTCCCTGTCAAGTCCCACCTTAAAAAGCCAAGGAAGACGATGCCAACCACCACCATGTCAATGCCACTTGGCTCCCTGCTACGGTGCCCTTCAAAAGTACTATCACTGATCCTCAGGAGAGGATTTGCAGCTTTTCCAGCCTTCTGCTCCAAGTCCCTTACCAGATTTGTATGCCTAGGTCCCTCTACTATCCCATGGCCCAAACTTATCCTTAACTTAATCTTTAGGGCTGCAACATGAGAAACTCAAAGCTGAAAATTTCTTTGGGATAGCATCTTGAAACTGTAGTTTATCTTTACATTTAACTAGATGTTTAGGACATCCTTACAAATGACGGTTGTCTCTTAAACTAAGAGACTCACGGCTTTCTTTTGAGGGTGTTCTACATGCCATCTGAACCGAGAAAACATCTGCATAGCATTTAACACACTGTTGGCACTAGGTTAAATGTATTGCATAGGAACCTTGCAGAAAGTCTGAAGCTGCCTTGCATTTGGGAAGTCTATATTTCTGTGATACAAAACTATTTCTCTGTGGCAGACGATCACTGCATTGCACTGTGCCCTTTTCTCAGAGGATCTAGCTCTTCCTCTGCTGAGATCCTTCGCGATGTTATGCATTAACAGTCTTGGCGGTTTTCAAGCACTCAACCTCAGTGGCTGACTAACAGTGGTAGGCAATGGACTTTGGGGGGGGGTCAAGTCTGGTTTGGTGTCCTCATTGATTCTGTGCCTACGTTGGCGAGCAGGACGGTCAACAAAGGGAGCCCACCCTGACAGCTGCCCTAAGGGAACTTTGCATGCTTTTGGAGACTGGTGGATGCAGTTCCCAAGAAAGACCTACAGCAACAGGTCTTTGCAGCAGACGCAACCCACCTGCATAAGCTGGTTTACACACTCACATGAGCAGGACCTCGCTGCTTGGGACATGTTTTGTGGGGTTTTTTTGTTGTTGTTTTAATTTTTCTGATTGTTTATTTTCTGATTACCTCTGGGGGGGAGGGAATGAAAGTAAAACTAATGCTAGTATTAAAGCACAAAAAAAAAAATCTCAAATCATCCTCTGTTTTTTCCATGCCTTGCTGGGCAGGGGCAAGAAGGGTGGAAGGAGGTGGATTTTTGGGGTGGGGGATCAGTATTACAATCATCAGCCTCATTCCTAAGCCCCAACAAAAGACACAAAAGCAAAAGAGGGCAGAATTATTCCTGAAATTAATTTTGCTCTCTTTCCTCAGATAAGGATTTCACCCCTGGAGTTAGGCTGGGACTGGATGGTACAAGTTTTCCTGTTGCACGAGATATCTCTAGGCCTCTTCCAAGGGTTATTTTTGCTTTTTTTTTTCCTGGTTAAAATTTTTAGAACACAAATGATAATAGGCATCTTTTCAGCATTCTCTATTTGAGGGAAGGGAGTGTTTTCCCAATGCTGTTCGGAATGCTTGTGGAACACGGATATGTAAACATCAGAGTACATGTCTACTGGATAGTACCCAAGCCATTACTGACCAAGAAAAAAAATATGACCTTTTTTCTGCCTTTCTCAATCCCTGTGCCACGAACTGGCCTATGTTTCAATGTGCATGCTTGTAAGACTTCTCAAAATGTCTCCAAGTGCCATGTGCTTCCCCTGCTGAGCGATCACTGCTGAACAACACCTTTGCCATGGGTCTCAAACCTTTGCCCACAAAAAGGAAGCTCAAACCCACCCTTCCATTGCTGTACTTACTTGACTTTCCTGGGTTGAGATGACAAAGGGAGGGGGTAAACTCAGCTTTTCTTTAGGAGGGAGTCCTGCTGGTTTGGATCCATTCACAACAAACTGAAACACTGCTATGGCTATCCCCCACTGCAAGCAAGGCTTGACGGTAACAAGGCTAATATTCACCCACCCTAATTAATTACATGGGGACCCCCCTGTGTCATCTGTCAAATTCTATACAGGACTTGCAAGCCCTATCCGTAAAATACGAGGGGCCATTTTTTCCATGGTCTGGAAAGGACCTCAAGGACTGAATGATTAGGGTGTGCACAGCACTAGCACTCCAGCTTGCTCTCTTTTTCTCCCCCCCCCCAATTTTTTGTGAGGGGGTGTAAAGTTCAAGAATCCCAGTAAAAATCTCCAACAAGGTCTTTTTTTTTCCTTTTTTATAAAAATAGATTTTTAAAACTCTTTTAAAATTTTGTTGGTTTTTTTGTTTGTTTGTTTCCTATTTCGGCGTGTTTCATGTATCCCCCCCTTTGTTCAGTCGTTTGTTTGATCTCGCTTTGAAAAAGAGAACGGAAGACCCCACCCACTAGCCCTTCCCTACCTTCCCCTTTATCAAAAAACGCCTTTCAAGCTTATTGAGTAATCAATTACCACAACTCTGGGGTTGCTTCCCTCCTCTCCCTCTCTTTCAGATGGCCCCATGCTTGGTCCCGCAAATTCTTCATTGAACCTTCATTTATGAGAAAGGAAGGAAGGAAGGAAGCTTGATTTTGGAGAGGAGATAAAAATAGCACTTTTAAGTGTACCACCAACCTAACTCTCAAATAGTGACCAAGACCATCTTTCTGATCCAAAAGAAGCTAACTCGTTTAGCCCACACAATCTGGCTAGAAGTCGTATTAACTCTAATAATCATGGACTCAGTAAAAGATCCCCCAAACCTCCCTGCTTTGACAATATCATGGCCCATGGTCTTATTTTAATCCAAAGTCTTCAAAGAAGAAAACAAATAGACCTGATCTGCAGCCTTACAAAACAGAGGTTTTTGGGGGGAAACAGGCCTTTGCTTCTCCCAGGGAATGAGACTTTTCTGGGAACAGGCAGGAAGGGCTCTCGCGTAGGACTTGAGGGACTGGGTTTGCCTCCCAAATAGAGTAGAGTATCCTTCTGGTTGAGGGACAGGCAAAGTGGTGGGATTGACAACATAAACGCTAACATTTTAGACCAAGGGATGAGATGAGAGCGTCCTCCCCTCCTCCCCACCCCACCCCACCACCACATTGATCCTGTTTTACATCCAGGGAGAACAAAGGTGGTGAGCTGGATCAGTTGTAAGTCTTCCCCGCTGGTCTAGCTCAGAAGAGCAGGCAAGACACTCTTGAATTTGCTGACCCACAATATTCTGATTCGGGGGGGGGTGTGTTTCTATCACAACTTGCAGAGAGTGGTTTTTATCCTGCCCGTCAAAAGAGCAATACAGAGGTCAGTGTTCATAGAGCAAAAAGAAATAATGGACAACCAGGGAAAGCTTCTGACTTGGGTAGGGATGAGGAAAGCCTAGAATGGGTGTGTGTGGGGGGGGACATGGATGAGGGGGGTCACCAAGCATATAAACAGAGAGGTGTTCTATTCTAAATAGATGTCTCCCCTGCCACCTTGCCAGAGCAGGGTCTGATTTTCAAAAAGTGGCTGACATGTTGCTGCGTCTGTTCTCCCCGCTGGGCTGTCGGGCACAGGGGAGAAGGAGGGGGAGGAGCCTCCTGCTTCCCAGAGAAGATCACGGTGTCTGGCGGTTTACTATTCGGCAACAATTGAGTCAATGAACATTCCTGTTCTTGTGGCGAGTTGGGGAAGAGGGCTGTTTCCAGCACATCGGTTGCTTCCCCCCCTCCCCCTCCCGCCCATCTCTCTTGCTCACTCGCTCACTCATGCCTTGTGTTGCTTACTGGTCTTGAAGGAAACCTGGAGGATTCGGTCACCCAGTCGGTAGCCATTGAGGCTGGCGATGGCCATGGCTGCTTCGTCGTAGTTGGTCATGGTGACAAAGCCAAAGCCCTTGCACTTGTTGGTGGTGAAGTCGCGGATCACTTTGACATTGGTGACTGCCCCGAAGGGACCGAAAAGCTGCCACAGGACACTTTCATCTGCCTCTGGGGAAAGGTTGTACACAAAGATGCACCAGCCAGCACTGGAGGCCCCTGTCAGGTTGACGCCCGCCAGGCTGGTCATGCTGTCGATCGTGATGGGAGAGAACCTGGAGATCAAGGAGAGAGGACTACTTTGGGTGTAAGGCTGGCATTCTACCAGCATGAGCTTGCTATATTATGGACAGGTTAGAAACAGCGTGCTTCCTCCACATGGGAAGGGAATGACACCAGCAGCTCACCTCGACAAACCTCTGCTTCAAAGAGCAGGAGAGAAAGGACAATAATCACTGAGGTGGTTTCTACCAATATTTTGCCAATGGCAGAAGAGGGTGGTATCTCAATCGAACACAATACACCTTCCTCAACTTCCTAGCTTTGCAATTCTCTCCACTTGCTGGAGCAAACCTAGGGCAGGGGGTTGGTAAAAATTTAACCCGCAGTCCTTAAAAGCAGTGGTCCCCAACCTTGGGCCTCCAGATGTTCTTGGACTACAACTCCCAGAAGCCTTCACCACCACCTCTGCTGGCAAGGATTTCTGGGAGTTGAAGTCCAAGAACATCTGGAGGCCCAAGGTTGGGGACCACTGCTTAAAAGGATATCCCTGCCCAGGTTAGGCTTTCCACCATTTTGTTTCTGCCTGCAAACATGCCATAGATCTCTCATCTGGTCTTCAGGGGAAGCCTCATAATGGTGCGGTGTGTGTGACTTTCTAGTGCATGTCTATCACACAAGCATGGAATTTAGTGTCTGAGACAGAACTGGTCACTGTTAGAGATGGGGACTTACCACAGTTCAGAGGATCAGGCCAGCAGGTGTTACATGGGCTCCCCAGATTCTATGCCCTGCCTCCTCTCGTGGGCGCATACTCAGAGGAAGAGGCAGAGAAGCCTGAAGAACTGCTTCTGATGGGGCATCCGTGGGAGGAGGCAGAGAGCAGAACCAGGTGTGCCTACGCAACATCTGCAGGCCTGATCCTCCACACTGTGTCAAGCCAGAGTAAGTGCCCATTTCTACTCAACATGATAATCTTTGTGTTCCTAAAATATGAAGTTACAAACTTCATGGTAGGAAAGAACAGAAATATTTATAATTTGAAGCTCAGAAATAAGATGAATGTTGGGCAAGGTTTGCTGAGACCGGGTGGGAGGCGAGATCTAGCACAGATATTACTATTCTTCCCCTCCTTTTATGATAGTTGTCTACCATATTGCTGATGGCTGACTGTACTCAGATTCCTTCCCTTCCTGTGCCCTGTCTTTGCTGATATTTCAAGTTCTTTGATAACGTAAATTTTTTGGCTGGTTCATATAAGTCACACTATGTGTGGCTGTAATATATTTTTTCTCCAACTGTACCCCCCCCCCATTTGCAACTGGATTGTCAAAAAATGAGCAGGCTGCTACAACTAAGCTTTCCGGATACTGCTGGAGTGAGTAAACTAATGAGGAATTACTGAAATCACTCCCGTCATTCATAAGCCCAGGGTAGCAGACTGTGTGAGACCCATGTAGACAACTGCAATATGAGTTTCCAATATTATGAAATGGCTTAACAAACAAGCCACTTTCAGGATATCAGAAAACTGAACACTTTTCCTGCTCTTCAGCAGAAAGGCAGGATAAGTCTTCTCTTTTTTTAAAGACTGTAGTAGAGCATTGCTGAGACACTCGCATCTCTTGGTTTTTTTTTAAAAAAAATAAAAAATCATTTCTTTGCCTTGTCTGAAGGGCAGAGAAACTGACCACAGCCTCAAATTTCAAACCAGAAGGGGGCCTTGACAGCCAAAAAGCTTGATTTTGGTCTGTTTACAGCCATCACACCTGCTGGGAATGGAACAATGTGCACCTACCCACACCAAGAAAGTAGAAGCCCCTGACAGCAGCTCAGAAAAGGTCCAGGTAGGAATGCTCTGGGGACAATTTGGTTCGCTCCAGTGATAACGTTGTGTGATCACTGGAAAAAGGAATAAACCAGACCATCTCTGCAGCGGACCAAACAGTGGTCTAAATATCTGTCTGATGGCACCTTCCATCTTTACACAATTTATTTCAAGATACCTGATTTCAGCTACCCTCCTATGCATACTTACTTACTTGTTCACCTCCGTGGGGTTAACAATGGGAATAAATATGTACAGGGTTGTGCCGTTGTACTATTTTGTCAAAATAATTTTAGATTAGGAATGTACTTGTTCATATCATTATTAAAACTCTTCCCTCAAATCGTCCTGGGACCAGCAATGGCTTGAACTTATGCAGTAATCTAAAGGGGCAGCTTCTCCTTGCTGATCCTGAGAAAGGTAGTTGGGCATTGGTAATCTTTTGGGGCAACCTCCCATACACAAAGGGTACTGGCAGATCAACCAACATACTTCTTTTATGTTTGGGCTTTAAATGAAGTACGAGGTTCAAAATGCAGCGAAAACATTTTGTCTGGAAGCACCCAACCACAAAGCTAAACCAGCATGAACCTGATCTGTACCTGGACAGTGTAACACTGAGAGCTGCCTGTAAGCTACTCCAAATGTTTTCAGTGGAAGTTAAGTATAAATAATGTTAAATATATAGGTAGCCTTATGGCTCTCAGTGAATTGCCCAAACATATTCCAGGGAAATGTGTTTGTCCACTGGGCTTTCGCCTTCCCAATTCATCTTTACAGCAACTATTTAATTTCTGAGATTCAAGTAACACAACTAAATAAAAAATCAAGAAGCATCCAACACAGTGACAACAAAGAGAAACGCAAGACCCAGAAATCATAAGGAACAGCCTGACCAAAGCAATGAAGCCTTCTTCAAGCCAAATCCAAAGAGCATGAAAGGAAAAGTACAAAAAGTCTACCGTGTTTCCCTAAGGCCATAAACAAAACACAAAAACCAGAATCCCACAGGTGTAGAACAGAAGGTGTCGGGGGGGGAGGGGACAGTATCATCCTAGATTTTATCAATACATTCCCATGCCCAGTGAGGGAGGTGGGCAAGGTAAAGGAAAATTTAATTTTTTTAAAAAAAATAAAAATGTAAAAAAGTAGTATCAAGGAAACATGGAACCAAGACTGAATGCCAAACATTGTCTGTTATTTTAGAAAGGGCTCCAAGTGAATAAGAAAACAGACTCTACCCACTGCAGTTCTCCATGACTCCCACACATTCACTTTTTTCCCTAACAACACTAGTGTGGTGGCACTGAAGAGACGGCTGGTTAAGGCAGAGAGAAAAGGGCCTCTCGTGTCTAGGGCTGTGTTGACAATCACCTTTTAATCATCCAGCCGTGTACTGTGGGCCAAGGTGGGGAGGGAGAGGGGAAGTGGCGAGGAGCGTAGGCTTTGGAAGGCTATTTACCTCTTGACGCCGTATGCCATGTTTAGCAAATTGTCGAGCCTGTGGGAGGAAGAGGAAGATGAGGAGAGGCCATTGTTAGTAGACGATCTCGAAACAAAAGGGTCCTGCGAGGTCATCTGTCTAGGTTTTTGGTGTGGCAAAAAGGCAGCACATGGATTCTGTGACTAGCACAGACCGGTATTTCGTATGCATGGAAATGCACTTTATGGCTCTGGAGGAATCTGATGTCTCAAGTTTGTTAAAAAAATGTTTAAAAAGAACAGGAATGGGAAAGGAGCCTTTTTTTAAAAATTTCATATTCTGGGACGTGTGGGGAGGGGACAGGCATTAATTACTTAAGGGCAACGAATGTTACATTTTCAAACATGGTGATGATGAAAGTGACAATAAATTTATCTTTTCCCAAGAACCACCTCCAACAGCAAAGGGCAAGCATATTTAGGGTTATAATTTGCTATCCCAGTTATACTGTTTATTTTTCCTCAGCAAAAATTATGACCAGGTATTAGGCAGAAATCGTCTTCTGAATGTTTGCTTTCACATCTGCAGAACTGTCATGATGGCACAAAATGATGGCTTTATTTTGCTTTAATAAAAGTCATGGTTGCCAGCACAGACCTAAAAACAACTAACGCCCTACTGAGGGGTTAAAATGGCCAGTTTCCCAAACAGACACGCCGTGGAGCACCTAATGCCCACCTTCTTTCTCATCCCACTTTCCATATGCCAAGGAAGGAGTCTGACAATAAACCTTTGCATATGAGCAAGACCTCAGTTTTCCAAGGTGAGGGTTAGGCACTTCCTTCTAAGCATGTTCAGGAAACTGGCCATCCTAACACCTGAACAGAGATAGATTTGCCTGCACTCTCGGTACTCACAATGAAAGATCTTAGTTACTTTATCTGTGATCTCTCCAATTTTTTGACTGCCCTGTTCTTTTGTCACCGTTATCCATCAACTACATAGATGCACTTTCCCAGAATCACAACTCTTAAAAACAAAAAATTGGAGAAGGCGACAGAATTTGGTGGGGGAAAAAATGTGCAGTTCTGTAAAATACACATACATTGAACTAAATATGTTCAGTTTATACAATTTAATGATGCAGCTTGGGATTTTTGTACTAGCACAGATTTCTAGCCTTACCTAAGAGGTACATTTCTACTCATTTGGCTATTTTGTTGATTTGCATATAGATGAGTAGCTTGTGGTGGGTGAAAGACAATGTTTTCCAATTCCAAGTCTGTGTTTACTTGTTTCTTATTGCATCGCTCTAACCTAGGAGGATGTTTAAGAAACCAAGACACAGAAAGGAAAACAAATCGTGCTCACGCATTCCATGAGCAAGCATGGGTTTTGCGCACGTGTCATGTATTTGGATGTTGTATGCCAAGCAGATGCCATGCCTCTGCGCAGCTTCCACTGCAGATGTATGAGCAGTTCAAGTATTACTATATAGAACAGAATAGAAATTTTATTTTCTCTGTTGCATGTGAATTGGGTCTGCATCAGAGAACAAAAATGGGTTACTAAGTAATATCAAATGAATAATGTTGCCTCTTCTGCTGTATACATACAAGCCTTCTACCAATAAATAAGTGGCCATGAAACAGACCAGAAGAGTAGCTAACTTCCCAGGATGTTTTATTTGTAATTGAAGTATTTTTTAAGGACTTCAGATAGATAGACATGATTTTTACCAGCTCTTCTGGGATGGAAAAGATAGTTAATCCTGCCTTTTAGAAGAGAACTGGAGCTGGATTCTTTGATTCAGGGATTCTGTGAGAGTAGCCAAAACAGAAGATATTTGAGCCTATATGCTGGTTGGGCCACTCTCTGCTTCAAAGGTCAGGGGAAAAAATCTATATTAGCTTGTTATGTTTAACAAACAATGGACAAATATGGCACAGTAGAACATCCTTAAGCACCTGCACGAGGACAAGAAGAAGTTACAAGGAATTGTCCCCCAGATGCCAGGCTTTTGAGAAGTTTAAAAAAAAAAGCAAGCTGTGTTAGATAAAATAATCCACTCAATATACTGTCTAGTTTGGCCTTCATCCAACCAGCAGTTTCTAACCAACCCTCTAATGGAACATCAGGCTATCTCTGACAGTTGCCTTCTGCTCTATATTAATTCTTCCTACACATTTCTCAGCACTGTGTGAGCTCTTGAGTCTAGCAGAAAGAGGATACACTGAATAGGAGGAGGTAGAGGTTGAAGAATCCTGTCCAGAGTGGGAACCGGAAAAACTGAGCAGCAACCCAAGGTACGAGTTACCATCTTGCACACTTTGTTCTCTAAGACCAAATCAGCGACAGACTGCATTTCCCAAAGACAATTTGGGAAGACCAACACAGAACACGAACAAATAACTCTGGCCTTTCTGATGTTCAAGCAAACCAACAAAACGCCAAAAGAGGCATGTGACTGAAAGAGAAATTTCTTTCTCCCAATTCTCTCGGCAATATCACATCAGTCTATTGCAAGCAGGAAGCACAAAAGATTTGGAAATGGTCCACACAATGCAGCAATGGTCTCCAAATGGAAAAAAGGTAATATCCATCACCCAATGCCCTTAGGGCAAGGCTAAAGTTATCCCTGTCTTTTTGTAGTAATTTAATAAAGTGATATGAATAGTAAGAAGAGTAAGAACTTGAAAAACAACGCCTGAAACTCTGTTGTAAAGCTGAGCTGCTGCTTCCGTCCCCGACCCCTCTAGCCATTGTCTTTTTCTACAAGCCCTTCAATGTGCCCAAGCTTATCTTTCCTACTAAGCCAAGCATGCAGAACTCAAGCTCAGATCTGCAGTGCTTGACAATACTGCCAACTGCAAGCTATCACACCTCCAACGTTGTCATTGCTCTCCCAGGGCTATGCGCAAGTCAAATCACAGTTCTTTCTACGAATGGGTATCTGCAACGGAGTATTCCCTAGGTCCACAACCACAGGAGTATTTCAACAGCCCTGTTTAGCAACAGGTGCAATACTATGATGGAAAATATCATAGATTCAGATCTAAGAAATTTACATTAAATTCTATTTCAACCACTACCGTATTTTTCGCTCCATAAGACGCACCTTTCCATAAGACGCACCAATTTTTTAGGAGAAGAAAACAGGAAAATATAATCTGTTTTCTTCGCTCCATAAGATGCACAGACTTTCCACCACCCCTGTTTTGTGGGGAAAAAGTGCGTCTTATGGTGCTAAAAATACGGTAACTCATAGAAATGCCTTGGACACCTCTCAGTGTTTTAAAACCAAACATTGGAGTCTTAAGACAAAAATTGGTTAGTTTAAAAGAGCTGTGATGATGAAGACCAGCAAAATCCTATGGAAAGAGTGAACTAAGAATCTGAAGAAACAGGAGATGAAATGATGGGTGCCGCACAATGTTACTTCGTGAAAGAGGCAAAAAGCCATGTCATGTGTGATGAATTTCCTGCTGAGGCATCAAAAGGAAGCTATGCTAATCCAGATGCACTGCCACATAGGAAAGTCATATCTACCTATATTGTGTACATGAACAGAGAACTAACTGGGGAGACAAGACAAAACTAATAGGAAAGTAGAAAGTGGTTAGCACTACTCTTTTTTTTCGCATACTGCTGTGGTTAAAAATAAATTGCCTTTTTAAAAACATCTCTGGAGAAGATTTGTGGGGAAATGTCACATGTGAAGCAGCACTAATATATAAAATGCATGAGAAACATGGAGAAAAATACACTGGGTACCAATCACGTCCTACAAGTCCAGATTTAGACATTCAAAAGCAAACTGAGTGAAAGTCAAGCAGGTTTTCTTTTTTATTTCAGTTCTAACAAGAACATAAGCAAAAGGGACGTTGACAAACCACCTCAGTGGGAGTGGGCTGTAACCCATGAAAGCTCACACTGAAATAGATTTGTTAATCTTTAATGTGCCACTAGCTTTGTATTTTTGCTACCCAAGTGACAGGTGACAAACACTGGCATTCCTCTATCAAGAAGGATGACTCTCAACCTATTTACATCTAATCAAAACTTGGCTACAAATTAGATCCATCTTTAAAATAAAGTAGATAGACATGGGTGACTTATCCCAAAGTGAGGTAGGTGACACCCCAGACCGTGGGCCATTTATTCCAGCTATATTAAGAGAACAGTACTTTATTGAGCAGTGGGAGGCAGAAACTCCTTCAGTAGAGCAGTGCTAACAGTTACTGCTAAAAATACCAGCTATGTAGAAGAGACGTATTTACATCAGAATTGCCTGATTTATCCCTGTTGATTATTCAGCCACAACAACTATCATTTGATTATTACACTAACTTCTGTATCAGGAACAGGGAGTACACAGCCCTCCAGATGCTGGTTGGTGCACATACCCAGTGGTAAGGAGTGACGGGGATTATAGTCCAACAACATCTGGAGGATTACATGTTCTCCACCCTTGCCATAAATGATGGTTCACCCATCATTCCAACCTTCTCCACTGTGTAGCCTTGAGGATGAAATATGAGCCATTTCTCAAGAACAAGAATGGTCTAGGCTAGAGATCAAGGAGTCCACTAGCTCCTGAAGAGTCCCGAGAAGAGTATGAAGTACAGCAATAATAGTCTGTACAGTCCTGGCTCAATGGCTCAGCTTTCCAAGAAATAATCAATTCATTATAATTGATTAATTATGTAACCCATTTCAAATCTCTCTCTCTCAGTAATTCATTATAATTAACACTACATTCTTCCTGTTGTTTATTACTTTTTCATTACCTTTTAGGGTTTTTTTGGGGGGGGGCAGGGGAGTCAATCTACAGAAAGCTTTAAACCTGCCTACAATCTAAATTCTACCACTTCAAATCCTACAATCATTTGAAAAAGTAATGAGAAAAAGTATAGTGTAAATGTTACTTGCTATTCTAAAAAGCTGTGGTGTTATTATATAAAAGGAATGTTGCTACACCATCATTACCCCCCCACACACACACACACAAAATTGTGATTCAGACGGCATAATTACTAACTTTACTGTCATATTACTTAACACATTACTTTCAGCCTTAAAAGTGAAGCCACTGAGATTATGTCATGGGGCATGAAAGGAGATGAAGTTTCGCAGCATATTTCCCACTTTGCAATTACCTGCTGACAAACCGCTTCCTCATGGAACATCCAGATAAAACACAGAGACTAATGGCAAATGCCTCCAGGCAGGGCATCAGAGTCTTGCACCTCCCTCAAGCAGGGGAATGACAGCTGTGAGGCACTAGGTGAGGAGGAGAAGGGCCTGACCTCCCGGCCCTCCAACAGAGGAGAGGGGAAGATGTCTCACCTGAATCGCTGAGTCTGGTGGTGCAAAGGTCCTGTGTACCGCCGGGCTGTGGTCTGGTAGAGGTGTGTGAGCAATGCTTGCCCCGTCTTCTGGCTGGGGTTGTTGGCAAACTTAACTGTGATGGGCTCACTGGCTCCCAGTGGCTTCTGCCCATTTAGCCCCTTGATGGCCTCCTCAGCTTCTATCCTCTTGTCAAAGCGGATGAAGCCCACTCCTCTAGAGACACCTGTAAATGGAGGAGACAGAAATTGCATGTGGCTACACAAATGCTGCATGGGTGCAAATTTGTTCATATTCTGAGTTATTGATTCAATAAGATACTGCAGATATTTCTCATTTAAAGGCATATATTATGGATTTGTTCATTTGTTCTAGTACCTCATATTCATTTTCATGTCTCCTCTTTAATGACCAGTACCTGGTTTTAGTGCCCCCATGCACAATATTACAATCAAGCATGAATTTGAGATCTGCCTATAGTTTTGCTAACTCGGATATTTTCACAGAGTCTGAGACACGAAGCATGACCAAGTACAGTGGGGTCTTGACTTAAGAACGGCTTGAGTTAAGAACATTTTGACTTAAGAACCGCTCTCATAGGAAAATATTGACTTGACTTAAGTACTTAGCTTTGAGTTAAGAACTGAAAAAAACCCACGTGGGAGGCAGGGAAGGTGCAAAATGTGAACTTTCAGTTAACTGTTGGCCAGTGAAAAGGGTGCGTGTCTGCTTCCTCACTCCTCCCAGCGTTTAGAGAGTGGATTGGGAGTCTTCAGACTGCCTGGTACTGCCTGGACTGTATTTTCCCTGCCTTCCCTGCACCTTTCTTGACCTAAGAAAAAAAGAAACAAAATATCCCCCTCTAGTGGTCGAAGGCAGAATAGCAGCTTCCCATTAGTTTCTATGGACGGAAAAAAGCAGATACGGATCAAATGGGTTTCAATGCATTCCTATGGGAAATGCAGATCTGACCTGAGAACTTTTTGACTTGAGAACCGCCTTCCAATATGGATTAAGTTCTCAAGTCAAGACCCCACTGTATATGGAACACATGAGCACAACTGAGGTAAGCTCAATCATGGAACTTAGTCTAACGGTTAGTCCTGGGCTATGTAAAGGGCTGATGTCAGTAAGAATGCATTTGATCATGAATTAGGGTAGACGGCTTTCACCAGCAGCTCAAATCAGGACAATCTGGGAAAGCCCTTTGCTTTTATCTTTGAAGCCAATGACTGGAAAAAAAAACATACACAGGGTTGAAATGGATATACAGCTCTCGACGCCTCCCTCCGCCCTCTGCTGTAGGTGCCCCACATGAACATCTACCAACAGTACTGATGTGGGGCCGAGAGCCTGCTTTTGCTTTTACCTGTGACCTGATCGACAAGGATGCGGGAGGTGATGATGCGCCCGTACTGCGAGAAAAGCTGTTCCATCTCTTTCTGGCTCATGGTCTTGGGCAGTCCGCTCACGTAGAGATTTGCATCACGGATGGAAGCTGAGCTAGGCCGTGCATAAGACACCTAGTGGGGTGGAGGTAGATAGGGCCATCAAAAAAAGCCCAGGAATGAGTCTTCTGTAGCAGCTTCCCACATCTACCCCAGAGGCTCCCTGCTCTAAATGCTTTCTTTCTGGCGAGTCCAGGATTCTTGTTTTATTTCCTCTTTACTTGCCTTCATATTTCTCTTCATCCCTTTCCTTGTAGCCTTGTGTTGTGTCAAAGGTTTGACTGCAAGCTCCTTGGGGCCAGAACCTGTGTTTTTGCAGTTATTTTATAATAGTAAGAAGAATAAAAACAATAAATATTGCTTCCTGGACTGCTACCCTTACATAGTTCAACAACCAGTTTCCTGCCATCTCTGTGTTGATTTATTCGCAGTTTATTCTTTCCTATAGTCTCGAGCAAATAAAACCTGATTGTACATAAGGAAGGAGGGTTCCAGCTCATTCTCAGTTCATCTACCCAAGCCATCCTTCTCTTGCTGTACTCATTTTCGGGCCAGCTTTCCTTCCCACCTTCCTCACCTTGATTGTTTTTGTCTGTAGTTTGAGCCCATTCAATGTGTTGATGGCTTTGTCTGCATCATTGGAGTCAACGTAGTTCACAAAGCCATAGCCTAAGCTCTGCCCTGGTGTAGAAGAAGAAAAAGATGTTACGGAGAAGGAGATATCAAGCAATGAAGGGGAAATAAATTGATAATAGAGATTTGTATGACAATGCAAAAAAAGTATACTAAAATTTTACCTGAATATTAATTTTCAAAAAGAGAACACAGCAAACAAAAATAAATTTAAACTTCTAAAATGTTCTAAAAGGGATTGAGGTTCAACTGTACTGATTTGATTTACAACCTAATATTACGTTTGAAATCGCAATCATTGTTCACACAGAGGTGACAGACTGATTTGGGAATTCACCCTTCATATTGGATGCAATGTGAGTTACATTCCACACCACAGCTCCCTCCTTCATTCTTTCATTCCTCTGGTCCCACCTCTGCTCATCCTTTAACAGTTCATTATGAAGTCACTTTCTCATGTAAAGCTTCAGACTACAACATTTCTCGAAAACCTTTCCACAGAAAAATAACACAGAAAGGTACTTAACAGTTAATAATAAGGAACATCAAGTGCTCAAACAGTCATTTTGCAAAATACATCATAGTTCACATATCAGTGTGATTTCATTAACCGGATCACCGCCTTCCTCTTCTCCTCTATTACTCTTTTCCCTTACTGTCAAATAATGCATCCAGGAATTACTTGATCTCTGCCTGAACATCATGCCCGAACTGCCTACATCACCAAAACACCACCTACAGAAACGATCCCATCTTTATAAGGATGTATCACAACTAAACCCACAGGGAAATGCAATTCAAATTGTTCCAGCTTGAAATAAGCAGAAGCCTCCTCAGCAGCAGAAGGGGAAAAATCCGCTTTGGGAGCAAAAAAAAGCTGGACCAATGCAAACCAGCCTTTGTGTCATGTGGTCAGTAAAAAATACTTCAAATTCATCCACTTCATAAGTGGGTCCTGTGGTATTTGACCATGTAGTTGCACACTGAGAGAGGCCACGGGGGGGGGGGATAGTTCAGCTCAGTCACACAGCCAAGAACACCAGTCACCATTTATAACTCCTAACAGTGGCTAGAAAGGAAGGCAATCAAAAAGAAAAGCCCCAATACAATCTGGCTGTTGCCTTCTCTGAGAGTCCAAAACAAGTCAGACTGAGACAGTATAGGCATGCTGATGCCGAATTTATATGCTGCTGTTGAAGGAACAAGTGCTGGCAGTGTACGTGGAATAATACAGCCTGGGAACGTACTTTCAAAGAGAAATTGCACTTAGAAGTCCTGAGCCCTGCCCTTGTTAAGTTATTTACTGTTCAAATAGGAATTAGGATTTCCTGCTCTCCGGACCTTGGTTGGAAGACAGGAAGAACAAATGTAAGACCAAGCAGCACTGGTGGAGGACATAATTTATAGCACATATTTCTAGCTATGCCTAGGTTTAGGGCTATAAAACCCTAAATGGCTTGGGTTCAAGCCATCTCAAGGACCACAACTGACTTTATGAGCTTGCCTAGGCATGAAGACCATCAGGAGATGCGTTGGGTGGGGATATGGGAAAGAGCCTTCTCTGTTTCTGCTCCTAGACTTTAGAACTCCCTCCTACCAGAAGCCAAGCTGGCTCCATCTTTGCTGTCCACCCGCAAGGAAGCAGAGACCTTCCTCTTCAAGCAAGCTTTCCTTTAATGACTGAGTTGGGGTACTTGAATGGATTGTTGTGCTTACTGCTTTGAATGTGTTTCTGCTTCTTTTTACCATCTTTCAGTGTGAGGTGTGTTTGATCTTTTTTAGTATTTGTATGCCTATTGTTTATAGCTTCAAATGTTGCCTTTTAACAATGTAAGCCTCCTTGAGTTCTTCTTAAGGAGAAAGGTGGGGTAAAAATATCCCTCAAATTATAATAATAATTTGTGTGTATGGCTTCAAATATAGCATGACTTCTCCAACTGCATACAACCAGCAGGTCTCTCCTCAGCCCTCCCCTTGCTTCCGGCTTTTTGGCGTACCAGCAAGGAAGGAGGTGGGGCAGGAAAGCAGGAGGAATGGGTGAGGATGCAGAGGAGGTGGGAGGGGAAGTGAGCAGCACCCACAGAACATCTGTGCACCAAACCGCACTTTGTGCCCATCTCTGGTCATGAGCCATGTCACTCTATACACACTAAAAACAATGCCCCAAGATCTGGAAAAAATGTGCCTGTCCTGCCTCTGTGACATCACAAAAGCTTGCCCCATGACATCACAAGCCTCCATCCTGCTTATGCCCCTTTTGGGACCTGAAATCTCAAGAAATGGAATGCTGCTGATCGAGCAAATCCAATTACAATTGTTTAAAAAGTAACTGTTTCCTTTCCTGTTTTTCAGAAATAAATTAAATATTTATTTATTTTTTAATGGGGATAATGAAATGTTACAAACTGCTGACCTATGGTACAAAGACAGCATTTTAGTCGCCTCAGTACCCACAACAGAGAGTGGCAGCTGCACAAGTCAGTATTTGAACCACGTGCTGTTCCATCACCAGAAGGTCTACATTCTTAGAGCTATAAAGGCAACTAAAAATTTATAGTTATACTGTAAAGGGAGTGCATCTATCCCTCATTAAGTTGAAGTTATGATACAGTGAGTGAAATCCTGTCATGCAACTCCCCCAGATGTAAAATGGTGATAATGTTATCACCCAGCAATGGTAAGCTTTCTCTCAATTTAGTTTAATTTAAAACTTCCTGTTTTCCTTCCATCACTTTAAGTTTTGAGGCTTCCTGGGGACTGCAGAAGCCTTTGGGAGCCTCAAGATGGGGCAGGGGAGCCTTTAATATTGGAAAATCACTAGCAGATAGCTGCTGGTAGTCCTGATCCAGGGGAAACTACTTCTCCCTTGCTCGAAAACTCAATGCTGTAAGGCTCACATAAAGCTCCCCAAACTGTACTTGAGCTTTATATAGTGAGTGGGAAGAGAATTCTATTACATGAGTAGAGGAAAATCCATCTTTCCTCTATCCTTCCACCTTGTCAATTAATACAAGCAGGTGGATATTACTTTTTTTTAAAAAAAAACTTCAAACCTGACCCTAATCTCAATCTCCAGGAAACTACAAGAGATCCACAGCATAGCAACCAGAGGGATCGACAAATCTACAGGCACTACTAGAGACTGAAGATGTCAGGCAGGCATAGGCCATGAGCTTTAGCATGCCGGCCACTGGCAGGCTGTCTACTAACATCTCTCTTTTTTTAAGTGTGTTTGGAGGAAATGGCTCTTGTGGTTGCCTGACCACTTTCTAAGCTTGCAAATTGTTGTGTGGGTGAGCGGGGTGGTTTGGACAGGGTGTGGAACAACTACAATGCAACCTAGATAAAGCTGTACAGAACTTCAGGATAACTGAATGGGTAGGAAGGATATGAGGTCCCTGCTGTGCACTAGAGAAAATCAGAATATATGGGTGCTTGTGCGATGGATGAATGGAACTGAGTATATGTCTGTGAATGCGGAGGGTGTGTTTGTGTGTGAAGAGTTAAGGGGTGATCCAGAGGGGGAAGATGTATATGGTTCAGAGGGAGGTCCTGAAAAGGAAAGTATATTGTGTGGTTACAGGGTAGGGCAGAGAAGAAACTGCAAGGTCAGAGTGTAGCGTTTTGCGGGGGAGAGGGGTTAGACCATTCTTCTGCCTTCTACAGTGGAACCTCGACTTACAAACTTAATCCATTTTGGAATGGCGTTCGTACATCGAAAAGTTTGTAAATTTAAGTAACATTTTCCATTGAAATGCATGGGAATGGAATTAATCTGTTCCAACATTTCAAAAGATTACCTTCAGAGGTCTAAAAGGGCTTTCCCCCCGACATTGGGGGAAGCCGTTTGAGACCTCCGAAGGCAAAAAGGCAGGGAGAAAGGGCTGGGAATTCGAATTTCCCACCCTTTCTTCTGCCTTTTTGCTCCGGAGGTCTCAAATGGCTTCCTCCGATATTGGGGGAAAAGCCCTTTGAGATCTCCGAAGGCACCGATCACTCCATTCGCAAAAAATGGCATTGTTTCCGAAGGCACCAATCGCTCCATTCGCAAAAAATGGCATTGACTTGCGAACAGAGCCTCGACCTGGTTCGTAGGTCGAGGCTCCATTCGCAAGTTGATGCCAATTTTTGTGAATGGAGCCGTTCGTAAATCAAAAGTGGCAAAGGGGCTTGACTAAGTCAGAGAAGCTATGGGCTATGCCGGGATAATCTACTTGTCTTATGGCTTCCTCTCTTTGCCTTTATGCAAAATGAGCACCTCATCATTGGCTGCACCCAGCAGAGTATCCCTTTTGTACACGGGCACTCCCGCATCATCTTTCTGCAGCATTCACAACACTTTCTCAAAATTTTAAATGCGCTTTCCAAATGAAAGAGGGTGAAGATGGTGACATGTCCCTTTAAAAGACAAAGCCCCAAGGTCCTCAGTGCTAATAGGACTTGTGGGAATGTTTTCTAGAGGCTGAGCCCATTTCGTTAAATTTTATGCTTCTTAAAGTTCAGTGCTGCACAATGTTTCATGTATTAGATTTTAATAAGTGACAAATTGTTAAGACACCTGTGTGTAATGCTATCTCCTTTATACAAGAGGCCTCACCTAGCAAGCCTGAAGCAGAATAATTCCCTTTTCTCTCCCACCCCACACTTTTATTTTGCCCAACCAAACATAATCAACACTGATTCTGTAGCTGATGGAAACTACTGAGTACTGGACATACTTAGTCCCTGGGCTGTTTTGAGATTAACTTTTGAAATCTACTAACCAATGTTCCTGCTTGGCAATTATGCAAAAACTACTTTGCCTGTAGAGGTCTCGTTTCTCTGTTAAATTGATGAAGTGTAGAACTACATCATTTAATGTTGGATTATGACAGAAAAGAATGGAATATTAATTCCACGATAGGGTGAAAAGATAATTTAAGGCTTCTCTACACAGGTCCCCTTCACAGACTGCTGCCTTGTCGTGGCAAAGGGGCTTGACTAAGTCAGAGAAGCTATGGGCTATGCCGTGCAAGGACACCCAAGACGGACAGGTCATAGTGGAGAGT